TTTCGAAAATGAATGAAAAAAATAAGTTGTATTTTATGTAGGAATTTCATCGGTATCTATAAAATAAACAGAACATTACATGGCCGCTTGGGGATACGAATTTCATCATCTTGTGCTGAAAGTATCTCTCATGAGTGAGCGAAGCGAACGAGTGAGAGATACTTTCGGCACTCGAAGATAAAATTCGTGTCCCCGCGCGGCCATGTAATATCCTCTATGTCTTTAACTTCTGTGAAGTATCATGGTATGGTCTTTAATATTTGGAAAAATCTAAGTCCGTGAAATGTTCACCCATAACTTTCCAGAGTAGCTGTTGGAATCTCTATACTGGCCGTGCTTATAGCCAACGATGGGCAAGGCAAAAAAGTTGAGGATAACTCTAGGAGTGGGTGATTAGGTAGGTTTCTGTGCCCCTCATTTGCTCAAGAAATGTAATTTCTGACATTCGAGAGACGTGGGAACGAATTAGACAGAAGTTACTATTCTGACCTCACGGTTGAGAGGTGTGCAGGGGTTCATGGGATAGTTAGGGTTTATTTATGGTTTTGGTGCAAGATTTGTGCCATACGCCAGCTCTACCTTGGACCCAGAATTTTTCTTGAATTTTTTTTTTTTGCGAAAGAGAGAGCGAGCCGCAAAGTGGCAAGGAGAGTGACAAAAGTGAGGTATGAATTAGTTTACTATGCAAGCACTCAGATAATTATATGTGACAGTTATTTATTATAAGAATAATTATTTTATATCTGTGTCTTAAATATAAGACGTGGCCATATGGAACTTTAAATGAATGGCAAGAGAGTATTCAGTTGATGTATTTATATACGGACGTGGATGAGACAAACACAAGATACTCTAAAAAATATATCAATTAATATAAATTGTAGTATTAAGATACCTTTAAGGTGATGTTACACGAGACGATTCGCAACGACGATTTTTAGCACAACACAGCGTTGCAACATTGTTGCGACATTGTTTCGAATGGTTACAACATTGTTCCAGCTTTGCAACGCTGTGTTGCGCTAAAAATCGTCGTTGCGAATCGTCCCGTGTAACATCACTTTAACCCTAATTAGATGGATAATCTTAGTTGCTGATACCGGTAATAATATGTACGAATCTGATTAAGAAGGCTACAGCAGATTTTTGGGTAACATTTTGTGAAGAAATACAAGTTCTTTGGAGTGTAGTTCTTGGCCTTGTCGTTGTTTTTTTTTTGCAGTATGCTTCAAATTCGTATTTGGCATTTATTTGCATGTTTTAGCCCTTATTAAAACACCCTCGTGTAAATAAATTCCAAATTGAACTAGAAAAGTCGTATGTTTACCCTTGAATTAAATGCATGAAAAACATTACCTGCCTCGCTTTGTTTGGACGCTTTCCACGGCCCGCTATAGGAGGTAGTTGTTTGGCTTTACCATTCAAAACTTGCTTCGAGGAACTGAATTGCTGCCTGTCCCTAATTACAGAACAGGTATATCCTTTCTCTTTCATTTGGCTGTCCAAAGCTGTCATCTTATTTTCGAGACTGTCGGGCTCGAAGCTGTCCCCTTGTTCGTTTTCATCTCGACTTAGAAGCACTCGAGCAGTTTGTTGTGGTCGGCAGGCTCGTAAAAACTTTCTAGGCCATTTCGAAAAATGTTCATAAATTGCCCTTGGGGTTTATGCCTCGTGTAGACCTTATATGGCATTAATTTTTTTGCACGATTTGCACGTGAATGCGTAAGTTTGTCGAAAATTTACATACTCAGTGTGTTACGTCCAGCGTGCAAAAGCAGTTGGCTAAAGCAAATAGCTTAAATTTAGTACCTAAGTGATTTGGAAGGACTCTTTAATCAGAGATAAGCTATAGATTCTGGAGCAAACCTCCTGTACACACTCTGAATTCTATTGTGCCGTTGGTTGTAACTAAGAAAGGCCGAAATAATTTTTTGCAAATCGGTCGTTACACGTGCAGTCTGGGAGCTTAAGCAACTACGACAACGACGTCAAAAAACAATTAATTTTAAGAGAAAAAACAGCTTTGCACATGCATCACGCTTTTTAGGATATTTTCTCAACGTCTACTGCATGACCACTACATGAAACCTCCTGATGAGACGTTTTATGTGGGACGTGATTTAGGAGAAAAGGAGACAAGATATTTTAACACATTGTGTATAATAAAAAATGTTTATTTCCAATCAAACGGGGACTGGTTTTCAAAGAGTTCCCTAATTTGAGGAAGTTAATGAACACGAATCATATTTTATACACTATGACGACTCTCAGGTTAAAAGTGAACACATAATATTGTACAATGAAACCGACTTCAAATAAAATGACTGATCACGTAACATCGGCCGTAAATTTTTACGCTAAAACACGCGAACATACATGAGTGCCATTCTTATTCTTGACATATTTTCTGATGCAAGGGTAGATAAGTTACTTATTTACAGCCCTCCCATGCTATACAGACGTTATCTTGTGGTCTTGCTGGTTCTGTTGGGTGGTAGAGCAATCACTCGTGTCCGTGAAGTCAAATTTACTTCTCCGCGATTTGCTTCTGTTAACAAGTTGAGAAGTGTATTCTCAAGCATGGTTTCGACCAACGATTCGAATTCAGGGAGCCTACCAAAAAAACGACAAACAACTATCAGAATACGACAGGTTTGGTAAATACCCATCTGTGCATATGAGTGGTAATGTAAGAGATTTAAGCTCTGAAAATTACATACGTTTTTAAGCTAAGCATGAGAGTCTTCGTTTTAACCTGAGATCAGGCTCTGTCTTCGTTTCGCTTTGAANAACTAAGAAAGGCCGAAATAATTTTTTGCAAATCGGTCGTTACACGTGCAGTCTGGGAGCTTAAGCAACTACGACAACGACGTCAAAAAACAATTAATTTTAAGAGAAAAAACAGCTTTGCACATGCATCACGCTTTTTAGGATATTTTCTCAACGTCTACTGCATGACCACTACATGAAACCTCCTGATGAGACGTTTTATGTGGGACGTGATTTAGGAGAAAAGGAGACAAGATATTTTAACACATTGTGTATAATAAAAAATGTTTATTTCCAATCAAACGGGGACTGGTTTTCAAAGAGTTCCCTAATTTGAGGAAGTTAATGAACACGAATCATATTTTATACACTATGACGACTCTCAGGTTAAAAGTGAACACATAATATTGTACAATGAAACCGACTTCAAATAAAATGACTGATCACGTAACATCGGCCGTAAATTTTTACGCTAAAACACGCGAACATACATGAGTGCCATTCTTATTCTTGACATATTTTCTGATGCAAGGGTAGATAAGTTACTTATTTACAGCCCTCCCATGCTATACAGACGTTATCTTGTGGTCTTGCTGGTTCTGTTGGGTGGTAGAGCAATCACTCGTGTCCGTGAAGTCAAATTTACTTCTCCGCGATTTGCTTCTGTTAACAAGTTGAGAAGTGTATTCTCAAGCATGGTTTCGACCAACGATTCGAATTCAGGGAGCCTACCAAAAAAACGACAAACAACTATCAGAATACGACAGGTTTGGTAAATACCCATCTGTGCATATGAGTGGTAATGTAAGAGATTTAAGCTCTGAAAATTACATACGTTTTTAAGCTAAGCATGAGAGTCTTCGTTTTAACCTGAGATCAGGCTCTGTCTTCGTTTCGCTTTGAAAATAACATTCCGTCGGGCATGGCGAAACGAAAAGAGAGCCCAATTTTAGCGGTAGCGGTTAGAGAGAATGTATGAGAGCCGCTCAAATTGGGCCTGATCTCAGGTTATCTTCGTTTAGTCCATTAAACCTCCAGGACCCTGTAGTTGATATCTTTCCCCCGTCTAGGTAGTATAGTACATATGTTTTAGACCGCTTTTTGCGCAGGAATCTCATTAACTTTTGCGCAGAAATCTCGTTAACTTTTGCGCAAGAATACAGAAAGGGAGAAAAGCGAAGACCGGAAATACGTCTGCACTTCGCAGGCTACAGCAAACGGAGCTTTGAACAATTCAGTGAGAAGTATAGAGGGTCACCTCTGGCCAGTAGCCAATCAGAGAGCAGGGTTTACTATTACGTCACAAAAGTGGACCAATCAGCGTCCGATGTGTCATTGATGACGTCATCTTTCTATACGTGAGGTACCCTCAATGCACCGATCAGTAGTACGCTATAGTCAGTGCTTGGATACTTCAGGCCAAATGTTACTTGTCAGTCCTAAATGTTGCCATGACTACAAACCTGCGCACTCCTTGTCTCTGTGCTGTGTTCATTTCCGGATCTCCGCCCGTTTCTATTAGTCTGTCTGGTATGGAGAGTGATGACTGTGAGGTGCGCTGTATGATCTCATGGGTTCTACTCACAGCCCTTTCCTCTGTCATTGTATCATCTTGGGCGTGCTCACCAACTGGCTGCTGTAGACACAACATGAGTAAAAACGAGTTAAACTAATATCTTGATTTTACAGCTTTAATGGCACGAACTTCACTAATGGCCAAGGGAAACCAAGGTCCCAAGGGAGGTGCTAATCTGACCCATGGACATCGAAAGTGAAACAGCCTTAGACGCCGTATAAAACGGGTCCGCACAAATTTTTGAACGGACAAAAACTTGCACGGATCCGCCTTTCGTTTACACGGGACCCGCGGAACCGCGCAAGTTTCAGCCATTCTAGTGATGAAACTATGCAAATATTTGTATGGACTCGTGAAAAGAGTACTGCCATCTGGAACAGAATTTGGGCGGTTCCGTGTAAACGGTTTGCACAGGTAAGAAATTCGCCCGTTCAAAAATTTGTCCGGACCCAAAGCTTCTTCTTCCTCCTTCTTGTGATACACAGTAAGTTTCCTCCTTGTATTTAGCCAAATCTCAAACGTGTTTGGAAAAACGACACCCTTCAACAGCTGTCGGAGGATCTTATAGACGATTCATGGCCTATGATAGCCTGTACAAAGACGATGTTTTCTTTTTTTTCGACAAGAGAAAATAGAGGGTCGGTGAACAGGCTAGGCCTATTAAATCTGTTAGAACCGAACAAAAGTAACCAAAAACCGGTCTGGTTCATTTTGTGAAAAAAAGACCAATTACGTGTCCCTATTCGCTATGGATCTTGAGAAATTACTTGTAAATGACAAAATCAAAGCTTTGCGTCAAACAAACATGTCTCCCAAGGATTATATCAAATATTTGAAGAAACAAAAATGAACTTTAAAAAACCGTTAGGCTAACGAGTTTTCAAAAAACCAGAACTGCAATCCGTTTCAATCTTCTTCATGTCTGTCCAGCCGTGCCTCCTTTTGTATTTACTCTGTTACTCATGTCGTCTCATAACGTTTTAAACAGTTACTTTTATGTTTCATTCAGTTTAGTGGCAGTTCCGGCTGTTTGAATTTTGATGAATTTCGTGATACAGATCCCTCAACATGATCTTTATAGCTACCTGACTGGTGCTTGGTATTGCCTCCACCTCACCGCTGACTTCCTCCCCAGAGCGGGACTGGTTACTACTTTGACTGCTGGCCGACGAAGGTCTGGAACTAGTGGTGTATTGTGTCTCACAAAGCTGTCTAAAGTAGGGTACAGGCTCCTGGCTTATTTCGGCCATTCTCTGATGAAAATTGTCGTCATCCAGAAGACCCCTACACGCAAACAGACCGGTATATAATACATATAGGTTACACACAGAATTCTAATCAGCTCTAAGGGGCGGAGTCAATTTACGACGCAAAGGGAATTTAGAGACACACAAAGATATAGTTCCTAGCAGGCTGAAGTTTTGGCCTGAGAAAACAACCCTCATTCCGCGACACCACCGGTGGTTTCCCGCCAAATGACGCCTGAGAAAACAAGCGCAGAAATTCCATAGTGGTGACGTGTCACTACCCAGATCTGGGGAGTGCTTCTGATTGGTTGGAAATTTGCTTCATTCAAGCAGAAGCACTATGCAGATCTGGGTAGCGGCAAGTCATAAGTATGGAATTTCTACGCTAATTTCTCAGACGTCATTTCGCGGGGAAACCAGTGCGGGTGGTGTCGAGAAATATCGGCTGTTTTCTCAGGGTAGCTAAAGTAATAAAGATTGTGATTTATTTAGTTTACCTGAGAATAATCGAGAGAACGTTTTGAATGATTCCCATCTCGGGTCTTGAGCAGGTTACTAAAGCAGACAGTTCCTCCCTTTCTTGATTACCAACAGACCCCTGAGCCAGCACGTAACGTCTGCAAAATGAGAAAAGAGGTCACTTACGTTCTTTCGTTCTACTTGCTTACTTACTTACTTACTTACTTACTTACTTACGAACTTACTAACTCACTTTCTAACAAACAAACTTACTTACTTACACATTTCATCGTGTGCCTACCTTTTGCAACATCACGCGCAGCACGTTTCTTCGCGCGTCTACCGTAACATTGTGCGCAATAAAAAACCTTACTGCGTCTACCTTCTGCAACCATACGCGCAACACATTTTACACGCAACAAATCTAATGGTGTATCTACCTTCTACAGAACACAAAACTCTGTAACAAAGACGGAAAATGTAAGTTACTCTGACGACTCACTGGTCAATAACAAAGTTGTCCACTGACGAAGAAAACTTCCTATTAAACTCCCCAATTGAATGAGTCCTAGCGGTAACTCCCAGATGAAGTAAAAATGTCTCTGGTGGAACTGGTGGGGGTGGTGTTTCTTGGCGAGTAGCGGTGCCTCTTTTCTTCCTTGTTGTCTCCCTGGGTGAACCTACAAAACAGCCATACATAGAAAATATTTCATTGTTACATTCCGTAATATATAAATTTAGCCATTGCAAAGAAATCCACTGGGAGTTGAGCCTGCGATCAGCTAAAAACTAGTAACTTGTCAGCCCAGAACTTCATTAAAAAAACGCGTAGCCTCGATGGGTCGATAGCTGAGCCAGCAATGGGGTTATGTGATACTGGTCAGCAGATACCATGTTTTGAAAGCTGTCAATTGACCACAACATGACTGTGCAATATCAGGTTGCAGGCTTCCACACTAGCTAG